TCTTTGCTTGCCTTTGTTAAACTTCGCCCTACAAGATTTATCAAATACATAAGATTCACAAAACTCCAACTTTTCAACTTTGTCACCTCCTAGCAGGTTCTGCTTCCCCAATTCGACCAGGACTTTTTCGCTGACATGGCCCAATCTCATGTGCCATAATTATGTCTTCGACACAGGTTTCGTGGATGAAACATTTGTCAAACCACTTACAACCTCAACCTCAAGGGTATACAAGCCTTGTTTTTCCACGCCTCTCAAGACTTCCTTCGACCCCTTCATGACTCTTAGGATACTTTTCTCTCCTTGAAAAACGTATCCCTTTCTTTCAAATTCACCAAGAGAAATCAAATTTCTCTTTAAGTCAAGTACATACCTGACTTCAGTCAATAACCTTATTGAGTCATCATGGAGCTTGAATCTCACAGATCCAATACCTGCAATTTTGCAAGATTTGTTGTTTCCTAGCAACACAGATCCACCATCTTGATCACATAGCTCCTCGAACAATTCTCTATTTGGAGTCATGTGCCAAGTGTAATCTGAATCCATAATCCATTATTTTCTCGAGTCGCCACTTGAAACCACAAGAACATCAGATGAGTCGAAGTCATCTTGAATAATGGTTGCGTTGCCATTACCTCCATGATCTTTCAGGCGTTCAGGGCACACTTTTCTTGTGTGGCCTTCCTTCTTACAGTGATAACATCGAATACCAGATGTTTCGCCATTATAATATTCCTATTGAATTTTACCTTTCTTCTAGTCGAACTTACCATCCTTTCGCAAGAATTTTCCCTTTACGGCCAAACCTTCACCCACCGCCGAAGGTTTATGCTCCTTTTGTTTGTTTAAGTCCTTATAATACAATGTTGATTGAACTTCTTCAAAGGTCAGGGACTCCCTTCCATACAAGAGAGTTTCTTGGAAGTGAGCATGTGTTCTGGGCAAAGCACACAGCAGCAATAATGCATGATCTTCATCATCGATCTTCACATCTATATTTTTAAGATCAAGAATCAGCTTGTTGAACATATCCAACTGCTCAACCAACACTTTGTCTTTACTCAATTTGAATGAATACAAAGCTTGCTTCAGGTAGAAACTTTCAAGTTTCACCCATAATCCCGATGTTGTAGTCTCCTTTGATACCTGTCGAAGAAACTTATCACCAAGGCTCAACAATATTGCGCTGTGGGCTTTCTCGATCATGCCCATCTTTTCTTTTGCTGTTAACGCAGCATCCATGGCTGCCTCACCCTTCAACGCTTCCAAACAACCCTGCTGAACCAGTATGACTTTCATCTTCAGGCGCCATAGACCGAAGTCATTCACTCCGGTGAAATTTTCAATCTCATACTTTGTTGAAGTCATCTTATCTATGCTCACCGCACCAATTTGTTGTGAATCGGATGTCTTCAAACAAAATATAAACGGTTTCTTTATGATCAAGAAACACGCAAAGGTTAGGGTTAACAAAGAAAATAAGGTAAAACAACAAGGAACAACAAGAATTGATTATAAACTATTATTTTTTCCTTTCTCTTAGAACAAGATTACAAGTATACAAGAATAACAAAATAACATCTCTCTCTTAAAATTAGGATTTTATCTTCCTATTTTTCCTTATACCAAGATTGAGAAACTAGCATCCTATTTATAAGAAAAATAACACACTAATGTAATGGGTTTTTTAACAATTATCCATTACAAGCTAACTTTGGGTACAAGCTAACTTAAACACTTGAGATTTCAAGCAAGACCCAATCCAATATGCTAAAAACCTAGCAATATTGACTAATGCATGTTAGAACAAACTTCGACTACAACACGCATTATCTTCGACAGCAGCATGCAAACATACTTCGACCTCATGCTTAATTCCTGTCGAACCAGAAGCTACCCTTCGACCATACTAGAGTTCAATCCAACATCTCACATAACTCAAGGTGTAATCAACTTTCTTGCTAGGTGATATCGTCTGAAGCATGGCATAAAGAGCTTGTATATATGAATCGGGCGAGGTTTTACATTGCCCATACTAACTTAAATATCTCCTAAAGGCACCGGAGATATAATAGTGTAGTCCCCATATCTCATTTCCTTTGATTTAGTCTTACATTGAGCCACAAACCTTGAGAGTTTCAAACATTGAATTAAGTATTTAATGGCATCCTTCAACTGAATGCAACCTTTTGTGTTGTGTTGGTTACTTTTGTGGAAATGTAGAATCTTTATTTATCTAGCCTCGAGTGTTCCCGAACTTTATTTGGAAACTCCACATCCTTTTCAAAGAACTTTATATTATCACAGCCTTATAGAACATGCTTTCAAAAGTTTTTTAGGGGCGTGTAGTTGCAGTATATAGAGGAGGTTAATGTATTATCCTCGTAGTTGGTACGTAGACCATTTTTATTATCCTCATCCATCTTTCCATCTCTCTCATACCTTCTATCTACCTTAGATTTCTCCAACCCTCCTCTATATATCACTCTGTTTGCTTCCAGCCTTTCCTCGTAGTAGATGTATTTATTTTCTTTTATGAGAAAGTCATTGAATTTTATAGGCTCTCATATATTCACGCCTCGAAGAACTTGATCTTCAGTGAAGTCCCATAATCACCAAATACTTATTCATCTTGTCCTCAAAATCCTTCGCTAAGACAACCTCATTGTTGAATCTTTTCACGTAGGAAGTTAAAAAAATTGCTTCTTATACCTCATAGATCTCAAACTTCTCATTCAAGATCTCACATAGCTTGCTACAATAGTTGATATATTCGAACGTAATACCTTTTAACCAAATCACAACCCTTTTTCAAAGTCAGGACGAATAGTTTTCACTTTGGAAGTAAGTGAAGGCATTGACAAGTTCAACGTGGTCATTGCAATTTATTATTTTATCATAAATCCCCATCCCTATGGGCTTTTAGAGGTCCATAAAGATGTGATACCTATTTATCCTCTATACAAATGCGTTCTTTCTCGAGGCATGTTCCTCCTCTCCAAAACCTTTCATAGGAGAACAATGGTGTTATGCCTCTTAAACTCTGGGAATGCCAGAGATAATGATAATAAGGTTTGGAAGGAGAACACTTTTATAGTCTTTTCGATTTGGATTTGGCCTGCATGTGGCTTCGGGATCAATGGCGACAAAGAGATGTTGACTGATCTTTATCACGTAACAAATTGCTTTCTTTGTCAATGTAGATCATGCCTTAATCTTTCTTTTAATGCTTTGACATGGACATCTATAGACCAGATTCAGCTACCTTAAATCGTCTCAGCTATTTAATTTACTATTCCATAGAAAATGATTGTCTATAAACATTAAGCGACACACCTCTGTCTCATATTAGAGGTCCTCTTTGAGATTTTAAGATAATGATTAATTGTGTTGATTTCAAAGATAAATAAATTTCATTTACAATAATAATCTTATTAATAATAGGTAGTAAAGTAATTATATGAATTTTTTTGTGAATTGGATACCTTGAAACAAAGTATAAACGGTTTCTTCTTGATCAAGAAACACACAACGGTTAGGGTTAACAAATAAAACAAGGTAAAACAACAAGGAAGAACAAAGATTGGTTATAAACTGCTATTCTTTTCTTTCTCTTAGAAACAAGATTACAAGTATACAAAAATAACAAAATAACCTCTCTCTTAAAATTAGGATTTTATCTTCCTATTTTTCCTTATGCCAAGATTGAGAAACTAGTATTCTATTTATAAGAAAAATAGCACACTAACTTAACGGGTTTTTTAATAATTACTCATTACAAGCTAACTTATGGTACAAGCTAACTTAAACCATTTGTCTTACAAGTAAGACTCAATTCAACATGCTAACAAACCTAACAATATTGAATAATGCATTTTAGAACAAACTTCGACTACAACACGTATTACTCGACAGCAACATGTGAGCAGACTTCGACCTCATGCTTAATTCATGTCAAACCAGAAGTTACTCTTCGACCATAATAGAATTTGATCCAATATCTCACAAATTAAAATATAATAAATAAAAGTAAATTAATAAAAAGAAATAATAAATACTAAATTAGTATTTAAAAAGTATAAATCATTTAATTTTAAAAAAATAAATAATTTAAAACAAATAAAAATAGAAAATTCGACGCATTGTATGTTACGAAGTAGTATATTTTAACTAAAAAGAGAACGTAAAGATTAACCTTCCATATATTTGTTAATTGAACCAATGGAATGAACCTCAAAAATTAAAGAGCTATGTTATTCTTATACTATTTTTTTAATACTCCGTATCAATAACATACATAATAATAAAGCAAAGTGTTGAGGCACAGAAATCAAAGGTAGATAAATTAAAAAAAAATAAAACTAGTATATATTATATTAATATATGTTAAACCTAGTGTAAACATATCTTTTCTCAAAATTAAATATACATTTGTAATTACATTATACAATGAACCATACATTCAACATTATTTTCCACTTGCATTGCATTTATGGGATAGATTATTTGCCGTATGGCTACAAAAACTTATCATCTCTACCTTAAAATAGCACTCAAAACAATAAATCAAGACCACAAAGTGTCAACAACCACCCATAAATTCTAAACATGTTCTTCTCCCTTTAGAAGCAATCCTATATTTTACCAAAGAAACCCGAATATCCCGGACCCAAAATTATATTTTGTCAGACCTCTTTAGGAAATGAATTTCTCGTACGTGTTCACACATTATTTGTTCACCATTCATTTCCACACCATATTTACACAATTTTATAACCTCTCTCTCCAACACAAGTTAGCACCTTCCTCTCCCTTTTCTTCTGGCCAACTAATCAATCAAAGTCTTCATTTCATATTTTCTTCTTTTCTTTCTTTCTTTTCTTTAATCTCTGGTTTTCATTTTCCGGTGGTTGAGCTAAACTGGTGTCTGAATTGGTGATAGAAATAAAAAACTAATATCTTGAATGATATTGAGATAAGAGAGAAAAGAGGACATCATGTTTGGCGACAACAGAAAAAACAGCAGCTTCGGTAACGATAACAATAACAATGTTCCTCGTCCCCAATTCGCGCAATCAGAACCTCGGCTTTCCACAACTGAAGCCTATTCAGACGACGACATTGCCAAGCGTAGCAGTAGCGCCGCCTCCCCTATGAGCCCTTACTACTATGACCCCGTCAGGTCTGTCCTCTTCCATTTAAATAACTATTATATTCATTGGCATGAATTATACAGCAATTCATCGCAGTGCCATTTGATTTTATAAATGGCTCTGTAATATATTACTGTATCTTCATGTAGATGATTCAAATTTAATTATAAAGTTACTGTAATGTTCGATTAATGGTTCATAATCTATAACTAATTAGAAATTTGAAATATGAAATTTAGGTTAAGTGGCGAGGGCTCACCAATGATGATGTCGCCATGGAATCAAACAACGAATTCGCCATTCTCAAAGCCACAGTGGTCACAATGTGAAGAAGCACCACCGCAGAATTCCCTGATCGGTTCTCTCGTTCGCGAAGAAGGTCACATTTATTCATTGGCAGCTTCCGGCGACTTATTATACACCGGCTCCGACAGCAAGAACATTCGCGTGTGGAAGAATCTTCAAGAATACTGCGGATTCAAATCCAACAGTGGATTAGTAAAAGCAATAATAATCTCCGGTCAAAAGATCTTCACCGGTCACCAAGACGGAAAAATCAGAGTCTGGAAAGTGTCCGTCAAGAACCCTAGCATCCACAAACGCGCCGGAACATTACCAACGCTCAAAGATATTTTCAAAAGCTCCATTAAACCAAGCAACTATGTCGAGGTTCGTAAACACCGAACCGCGTTATGGATCAAACACTCCGACGCCGTTTCATGTCTCAGTCTGTCACCGGACAAAACCTACCTCTACTCCGCTTCATGGGATCGAACAATCAAAGTATGGAGAATCGGCGATTCGAAATGCTTGGAATCGATAACCTCCCACGAAGACGCGGTGAACTCCGTCGTGTGCGGCAACGACGGTATTGTTTTCTCCGGTTCCGCTGACGGAACGGTTAAAGTGTGGCGACGAGAGATACGTGGGAAAGGAACTAAGCACGCGGCGGTTAAAACGCTTTTGAAACAAGAATGTGCTGTAACGGCTCTAGCGGTCGACCCGTCCGGTTCAATGGTTTATTGTGGTGCTTCTGATGGTTTGGTTAATTTTTGGGAACGTGATAAGCAATTTGAACACGGAGGGGTTCTTAAGGGTCATAAACTAGCGGTTTTGTGTTTATCTTCGGCTGGGAATTTGGTTTTTAGCGGTTCAGCTGATAAAACCATATGCGTGTGGAAAAGAGACGGAGTTATTCACACGTGTGTTTCTGTTTTAACGGGACATGACGGTCCTGTTAAATGTTTAGCGGTGGAACAAAGTCGTGATTGTGATGGTGGGAGAGATCAACGGTGGGTGTTGTATAGTGGAAGTTTGGATAAATCTGTTAAAGTTTGGAATGTTTCTGAGAGTCTGCAGAACCAGCGGATTGCTTCTGATTGTGATTCGGCACCTTCTGAATCCGACGGTAGTTTTTCTTCGAGTCGGGCTGGGAATAATAAACGGCAGTGATTGTTTGGGCTTGGGTTGGGCTAGGCTGGGCTTGTTCGGCCCAATGTGGCTTATTATTTGGGCTTTTTATGGCCCAGTGTGATTCCACTGCCACGTCTCTTTTGGGATGATTGTATTGTTTTTTTTTTTTTTGTTAATTGACTTTGATTGATTTCTTTTTGTGAGGCTGGAAGATGTATTCATGTATGATATTTATTTATGTAATGTAATATAATTTGTGTAAGATTGGTTTTCATGTGTTTGGATAGTATATGTTGGGTCGTGTGTGAGTGAGATATAGAAACATTATATTATATGATACATTATGAAATGTAACTATGCATGTGTTGATGGGTATTATCAATTTATCATATTAAAATAACACAATTTTCTTAGACTTTCCTCCTTCAAAGTTGTTAGAGTTACGTTGTATATATATGGTTGTTACAGCTTAGGTGGTTTCTTTTTCTATTGACATTCACATTCACATTCCATTGTCACTTCTTAATCTGATTGTGATGATAAGTATGACATTTTTAATATTGGTATATGAGATATAGCAATAATGGGATTTAGTTTTTTTTTGAAAGAAAAGGGATCGTTGAGAGAAAATCAAATTGTAATAAAATAAATGAGTGTTATTTTTATTTATATTAAATAAAAAATACTAACTTAAAATTTTAATTATTTAATTTTAATCCAACCGTTAAAAAAATGTTGAACACATAAACATGTCAAATTGATAAGTACTTGTTGGATATGTCACTCACCTAGAGCTTTCTGGTTTCTTGAATCATGTCCCCCAACAAGTTTTATAAGGATGAATGTGTTAGCCTACCTAGCTGGCCAGATTCCCAAATCGCCCTCTACTTCATTCGGATTATTTTCAACTAACCAAGAGGATGCCAGTGTTGTTATTACTCTTCCAGATGAATTTGCGGGTCATATGGTCGATGGTATCATAGAAGCTCTTAGTGACCCATATGTTTTACATGTAGTAAAAGGGATAGAAGTGAGAATAATTGAAGAAATGGTTAACCCTCCAGACCTATTCATAAGTTTATTTTTCAACCAGGCCATGCAATTTTCATTTTTCCTATGATGAAGTTGAAATCAATTATTTTAGATTTGTCATCGAGGATGGAAAAACCAAGATACTTATCCATAGAATTGTTGCTTTAATACCTAAAATAAGGGTGAGTTGGTTTATTTTCGTATGGGAATGTCAAATATATAAGAAAGCGTGAAAATTAGAATGTTTTTTCAAACTTGAGATACGAAGAAACTTTTAAAAAAAAAAAAAGGCAACAAATCTTTAAAATATAGTATACCGAATATTTCTCTTGTCTCTAAAAAATTTGGTAGTTCAATTAATCATGATCTTCTTATGCACTTGGGTGGATGATTCTCCTATATATTTTACTCAATTCTTTACCACTGACTTGGTATGTTTTACTTGTATGTTTTATATGAAATTTTGAAAATTTTAATCTAGTAATGGAATCTACGACTAATTTATTCTATTTTAATTGATAGATATTTTTCTCCTGGACTGAAGTGTTTTCATGGGAACAAACTATTAGAAGATAACATGGTATTATAGTTGTTAGTGTTCGTTCTAATACAATAAATGGGAGAAAAAGGAGGAATGACAAATTGTTTGAGTTGTGAGAGGGGAGGAAACTAAAAACCAGAAATAGTCTTAAGTCACGTGTAGTAGAAGAGTTACATTCTCATTTAAGTTGATATACGTGTCAAGTGGTAGCGATTGAAATATAACGGTTAGATTAGGTATTCACAATCATGATCTATCTAAAGATATAATGGGGCATGACATATTATGCTGACTAAAACCCGATGAAAGATTGTTTATGAATGAAATAAGAAAATAACACATGTCGCCGAGGCACATTGCAGTTGCTTTAAAAGATAGAGATCCTGATAATTTGACGAGTACAACACATATGTGTAAGGCAAAATCGATATATGGGTATACCATTATAGGTCCATTCACGAAAATGTAACATCTGTTGAAACTAATTCATGATGAAAAATACATGTGTTGGATAAGAAACATGGAAAAATGAGATGTTATTGCAGTTATATTCTAGACACGTACTGATTTTGTGAAGTTGTTAAACATATTTCATTTGATGTTGATCTTTGACTGTAAATATAAAACCAATAGGTATTGGCTCCCACTACTTAAGATTATTGATGTTATATCAACCAAGTTGACTTTCTCAGTTGGGTTTTCCTACTCGAAATATGAAATGGAGGAAAACTTCATATGGACACTAGAGAAGCTGAAGGATTTGTTTATATCGAAGAAGTTGGTTTCATAGTTCATGATGACGAATTAGCAACTTGCCCTAATGAATGCAATGAAAGTTGTGTTCCCCTCCTTATTTAATTTGTTATGTGTATCCCATATTTCAAAAAAGTTAGTTAGAAATACAAGGAGTACATTGAAGCTAATAAGCAAGAGCATGTTATGGATATATGGAACAAAGTCATGTATTCAAATAATGTGTTTGAGTTTAAGCAACACTTGTAGTATTTTGAGGTAGTATATGTTGATATCCCTTTATTTGTTGAGTATTGCACTATAGGAGTGGCAAAACAGGTTATGGCCCACTGGGCCGACCTGCATACCCGTCAAAAAATGACGGGTTGGTTGAGATTTTGTGCATGCCTACCCGTTCAGCCGCTCGCCTTAAGCTCGCCACCATAGATATCAAGCACTCAAAATATTTAGTTTGGTTGGTTGAAGGTTAATACTTGAACTATAGTTTTGGAAATCTTATTAATGGTTCTATTTTAGATAAAATTTCTTGATAGTTTTAGACTTTTAGTTGCCCTTTTTTGCTTTCTAATTCTTGGTTTCATGCAAGCCCGCTGCCTGCCAACCCATCACCTTGGTGTGACGGACTAGATTTTTAAACTCAATCTCACTTGACGGGCTTGTCTGCCCCATTCTTTTTTTGGTGGGCTTGAGGCGGGGTGGACAACCCGTTTTGCCACCCTAGTGCATACATGGTTGACACCTTATAAAGAAAAGTGTATTGCAACATGGACTAACCAAGTCACTCATTTAAGGAATACGATAATAAACAGGTACATCCCTGTGAGTTTGACTTTATTATGCAAATATTTATCAATTTGTTTATTACATCTTTCTCTATTATTATTTTATAGGGTTGAATCTGCTCATCGAGGACTCAAAAACAAGTTAAATACTAGTCTAGGAGATTTGTGCAAATGGTGGGTGTTGCACCCCAAAATTTGCCCTCACAATACAAGACTTTGTGTTCCAAGAAGGTTCACAAGGTTCACAAAATTCACAATTGGTCAGAAGAGTTGACAATTCCCTCAGACAATGCACCTCCTAAGCAGTGCATCCAAAACTAGGGTTTTGACTTTAATCAGGCTAAATGGACTTCCAAGACTTCAAGTGAGCTTCATAACATCTTATATGTGTATAAGAACCCCCATGTCAAGTTTCAAGACTTTTCTCAAAAGTTTGCTCAGTCAGATGATCAGATAAGTCAAAAGCAGTCAATGCAGTTAAAAGGTCAAACCGAGGTCAACTGTGGTCAAACCAAAGTCAAACTACATGATTTTTTTTTTGCCAACATCAAAGAGAGGTTGGGTGAGAAATATTATCATAATAACTGTAATACCCCAAATTTTGCCCTAAGATTTGTCGTCGCATTTCATTGCATTTAATCAATTACTAACAAATTTGTGTAGTCGTTTGACTTTTTGCAGGTAAATATCATATGGCATGCATTTTTTTCTAAAAAGTAAAAATGGCACAATTGGCAGGATGACATGTGTAAGGAGTTATGAGTGTGAGAGGTTGAGAGTTCGAATCTCACCTTTGTCATTTTTTTTGTTTTTATTATTTTTACTCTAAATTTTTCTATCTTTCATTAAAAAAATAACAAAAATAGTTTTTTATTATTATTTAATTATTATTTTCGTATTTTAATTAAATCATTTTTTAAAATATTATTTTTTTCACTTTTTTCTAAATTATTCATAAAAATATCCAAAAAATCATAAAATAAAAAAATATTGAAAAAAATTTTGTTCTTTTTATAATATTTTTTATTTTAGGAATCAATAGGATTATTAGTTTTTATTTTAAGTTTATTTTAATTATTTTAAATTATTTAAATTTTATTTTTTCTTAACTAATTATTTAGTTTGGGCTTTAAAATGGGCTTTAGGGACATTATTGACAATTTGGTGTTAACCCTAATTTGTTCTCTATATATACATGTGTTGCCTTGTTGGAAAAAAGGGGGAGAATGAAAAAAACCTAAGAGGAGTGAGTGCCGTTTGCCGTTATTTAGTTTTCTTCTTCATCCATTACTATTGTTTCTTTTTCTTCATCGTTTACCGTTATTTCTTTTCCTTCATCTATTACTGTTGTTTCTTTTTCTTCATCTTTTACCGTTATTTCTTTTTCTTCATCTATTACCGTTATTTCTTTTTCTTTATCTATTACTGTTACGTTTATATATATATATAATTTTTAAATTGTTAGAGTTTATATATATAAGATTTTTGATCGAATTATGTCGATACGATGTTTGCACATTTGTGTGCATGACGCGTGACATTTGTGTTAGTTCGATCTGGTTGCGATGATCGCATTTTTGTGTGAGCAATAATACTATTTTTTGCTTAATTTCTTTTTCTTTGCGATAAATTTTGTTTCGTCCGATTTAGATCTGGTTGCGATGAGCGCATTTCTGCGTTAGCAACATTGTTGGGTTATTTGGCACATTTAAAATTCATTATTGCTTTATTATTATTATTATTATTATTATTATTATTATTATTATTATTATTATTATTATTATTATTATCATTATTTATTATTATTATCATCATTATCATTATTATTACCATTATTATTATTATTGTTATCATTAATTTATTAAAATTTGTTATAATATAAAAATCTGTTTTTTTTAAAATAAATAACATTAACATCTTTTCCAAATTAA